TCTCATCGGGCTTGGAGGCTGGAAGGGGATTGTGGAACCTGGAGCTGCGTTTAGGACTGGAAGCCCAGTCCTGGTCTAGGGCTATGCAAAGGCTGTTGGGAGCAGGTTCCTGTAATTATACCAGTGGGGGCTGGTCTGGGGTGGGGATGGAGCCATGGGAAAATGTATGTTGGGCCAGTATGTGGTGAACCCAGCTTTATAGGAGGCATCTTGTTCTGGCTTGGGCCCACTGAGTGGGATTTACTTTGTGGAGGTTCCCCACCCCACCCCAGTTCCAAGAAAGTTGAAACCACTTGGCCTAACCTTCTCCTGGTTTGGGCTGGAAGCTTGTACACCCTCAGGCAGTGCCTTGTTCACAGCTGGATTCCCCACTGCCCTAACCCCATGACAGGTGCTGGCAGTGTTTAAGGAAACCCTGCGTTTAAGAAGGCTGGTGCTAACCCTTTGTGGCAGGGTCCTTTAGTTATGGGAACTGGCCTTGAACCTCTGAGCTTGGTTTCCTGAGGCCTGTTTCCAAGCTGTGAGCACCCTGAAAGTCTGATCTTGGGGTGCAGGAGCTAAGCCATTCCTGCATCATGTGAGGTAGTTTCTCCCAGGCCCTTGAGTGGGCAATTGGCCCCCACACATTCCTGATTCCGTGCAGAGATAGGCACCCAAACCACCAAACACACCCTTTCCTCCATCCCCTCCAAGCCTAGTGGCTTTAGATCACCACTTACCAGACACAAAGGACTTTAATTCATTTCACATTATTTACCTCTCTAGACACTAGAGGAAACTTGAAGCAGGTTTTGAAGTGAAAGTGGTCTTTCTTACCCACCCCTTCTCCGTCCTATCAATAGGCTAGTGGCGTCCTCCAGCAAGGCCACAAGTGGGTATATTGTCCTCCCCAGGGTACTTGCATTCCTCGTGTCCACCCTTGACCATGCAAGGGCCCTGCATGGCATATTCATGTTCTCCCCTTAATGGAGGTTGCTGTGAATATGAACCTTATCGGGAGGGACTAGCAGAGGTTGGTGAGAAGATCTGCTCTTAACTCAAGAGGTTAGGACTGTTAATAAAACTAAGGGCCAAGTCTCTTCCAGTGTATGAAATGGCCTCAGCACAGTCTGGTCAAGCCTGGGGCCTGACTCTAGCACCCTAGAGGCTGACGAGGGCCCAAGGGAAGAGGGCTGTAACTTATCCTGGGTCACTGTTGGCTTGGCTGATCTAGCGAACCTCTCGCAGGTCTTTGGCCTGGGCTGTTCTTCCAGCCCTTTTCGCCAGCGAGGCAGCATGGCAGGGCGCTGGAGAGGAGCACTGGTGGGAGCACCGAAGGGCTGCGTGGGGCAGGGTACCAGGGCGCTGTAGGCAGGACCTTCAGACTCCTCAAGTTCAGATCGTCTGTCTCTTCAGTGGAGCCATCGCTTCTGCATCACTTTTCTGGAATGTGATGGAGGGCCTCCAAGGGAGCCAACCGGGACGGGTCCGGGAAGGCAGGCCAGCTGGCCTCTGGACTGGCATGACCGAGTTGGATCAAGCCTGGGGACCTGGGAACCAGCCTGAAGGAGGGAGGAAGAAGCCCAGAGGGCACGTGGAGTGCCTCCTTGGGTCGGAGAACCAGGACCTCCATGCTCACCTCTTGCACTTTGGGGAAAACCCATGGTCCTATAGACCCAAAGAACTCAAAGAGGACACCTCAGGCCTCTGCTGGCCCCCATACCCTTCCTCCAATGTGACCAATATGGGGTGTTACAGGCCAAGTAATCAGGACCCAATGAGGGGCACGGCCAATGTCCCACTGTGGTTTGGGCCCCAACAAGGGGCAGCATCGTCCCACTTGACACCTTACAGCCGTTCCAGTTCCTCATCCAGGCTGGGTCCATGCATCAGATCCCCTTTGTCAGGCAAAGCTCCTAGGAGATTAAATGGGGACACAAAACTTAATCTGAGGGTCTTTCAGCCAGGTAGCAGATGCCTCTACACCCTTCACCTTCATGTGATGCCTGTTCTGCTGACCATGGGAGGGCTGATCGAACGAGATCTGAAGACTGCTATAGGGGAAAAAAAACCAGTCATGGAACAGAGACCACAGCTAAGGGAATCCCCAAAATGGGGTTTCTTGATAGTGTGGTGGTGTGCCGTGTGTCTGGGGTCGAGTTCTTCCTTGAGGCCCTAGGTACTGAACTGAAAAGGATATGGCCTAGGCTAATCCTAAAGGTTGGAAATTATCTAATTTTGTGCCCCCAAGTCAGAGTGTCCTACTTTGGAGAAAGATGGTAAAAAAATGCTGCTTCTATTACTGGAAACACAGTGTTACAAAAAAAAAAAAAAAAAAAAAAAGGTGCTTCTGCTCCTCCAGGGAGGGGGCCCCAGGGGGTGAGAAGAGAAGGCTGAGTCAGGATCAGATGAAATTATTTTATATGGCCAGGAGGGGAGCTGTCCCATCTCAGAGGTCTCAAACTCTAATCTCTTTGAGTTGGTTGGTTTCTTTAGCTATAAACTAAGAGAAGCTAATTTTTTTTTCTTCTTTGAGATAGGGTCTCACTCTGTCACTCAGGCTGGAGTACAGTGGCATGATCACAGTTCACTGCAGCCTTGAATTCCTGAGCTCAAGCGATCCTCTTGCCTCAGCCTCCCAAATTGCTGGGACTATAGGCATGTGCCAGTACGCCTGGATAATTTTTCTATTTTTTTGTGGAGATGGGATCTTGCTATGTTGCCCAGGCTGGTTTCAAATTCCTGGCCACAAGTGATTGTCCTGACTTGGCCTCCCAAAATGCTGGGAGCCAGCAGGGTGAGCCACCCTGTCTGGCCAAGAAGTTAATTCTTTGATCTTGGGGAAAAGTGAGAGAAGAGAGCCTTGGAAGCTTCCAGGAGCTTACAGTGTGGGAGGGAAGGTGAAGCTGAAGTTTACAGATAGGAAGATTCTCATTAGCAAATTACTGAGGGAAAAGAGCTCACTGGTGGTTTGGAACCTAAACTGGGGAGTCAACACTGCTGGTCTCTAGGAAGATTCAACCTTAAAATTATCCATCTGGCACACCTCATCCAACTCCTTGTCTGCTTCAATTTCTGACTTTTCCAAAATTTTCAGATGATGTCTCCTAGTCCCCTTTGCTTTAAGTAGTTAGTGGTTTTCAAACTATGTCCCACAGAACCCTCTCATTTTGGGGGAGTACCTTGGAACTAAAGCAACAGTGCTACCCCTCTCCATGACTGACCTCAACCTAAGTATCTCCAGATTTCTATTTCATATGCTGACAATGCAGGTGAGAGCTGAGACCACATGCTTCTTCCTGTCTCCCACTCCATTCAACATCAGTGCTCAGTGAAAGTGACTTGAGTGAGTAAGTGGCCTTTTAAAGGCCCTTAGAAAAAGTGAGTTAGTTCAGGCTGTGCCCTAGTTGCTAGTTAGCTTCCTTTTCCTTCCTGGCAGCTGTAATTGGTGGAAAGGAAGTTCCCTAGGAGTGTGAAAGAACACCTAAACAAATTCTCCCCCACCTCCCCCTTTTGATTCCTTCCTTCCTTCCTTCCTTCCTTCCTTCCTTCCTTCCTTCCTTCCTTCCTTCCTTCCTCTCTTCCCTCTCTTCCTTCCCTCCTTCTCCTCCTTCCCTCCTTCTCCTTCCCTCCTTCCCTCCTTCCCCTCCCTCCTTCCCTCCCCCCTTTTTTTTTTTGAGACACAGTCTCGCTTTGTTGGCAAGGCTGGAGTGAGTGCCGTGGTGTCAGCCTAGCTCACAGCAACCTCAAACTCCTGGGCTCAAGCGATCCTCCTGCCTCAGCCTCCCGAGTAGCTGGAACTACAGGCATGCACCACCATGCCTGGCTAATTTTTTCTATATATATTAGTTGGCCAATTAATTTCTTTCTATTTATAGTAGAGACTGGGTCTCGCTCTTGCTCAGGCTAGTTTCGAACTCCTGACCTCAAGCAGTCTGCCTGCCTCGGCCTCCCAGAGTGCTAGGATTACAGGTGTGAGCCACTGCGCCTGGCCCCCCTTTTGATTTCTGACTCCTCTTTTGCCTCCTTTCTACTCCTAGTCTAGCCAGTGACCTTGACTACCAACCTCACCCAGTTGAGAGGCCCTCCCCATGCATGTCCCAAGCACAGGCTCAAAATGACCAGACGGGTGGCATGCCCGCATGGGCCCCCAGGGACTTGTGTTCCTGCGTATTTGAGAGCATCCCCCGGCAGACTGTATGTTATGTGAGATAGTAAATATAAAGCATCCAACACCGTACTTAGCCTGCCGTGGTTGGCATTTTACGAATGTTCACTTTCCTTCCCTTGATCTCATGCCCTCAACTGGCAAAGGAAGGGGAATGCTGTGTCTCTTCTTTGAAACTCAGGCACCTAGGATCCCAAGTACACTAGGAGGGTCTCTTAAGAAGAGACACAAGTAAGAATTCCTTAAACTCCAGTAGGGTGGTGGCTTTCTGGCTCTTTCCCTAGAGCAGTGGATGTGGGAGGGGGGAAGGGTGGGTGGAGAAGCCTCAGTGAGAATAAAAGGACAGGCAGGAAAAACTGGGCCAGTGCAGGCTTCCCTCAAGTTTTTTTTCACCTTTTCAGATTATCAGATTATTTTTTTTTCCCTCTAGCATGGAAGAAAGGCCTCCTCAGACACACCTTTGCCCTGTTTGTAAATGGGATTCAGGTCTCTTTGATATATAATCTCTAGAGTCACTGAGTAAATAGCCCTGTGTCTGCCCAACCTGTAGGCCACTCCCCAAAGCAGAACTGGGGATTCTGTGGGGAGGGGCTGGGCACGCCTCTGCCATGGAGAGGCTGCTTCATGTTGGGGCAGGGCCTTGGGTGGGGAGGCTGTCCCTTACCATGGGAATGTGTAAGAGGGCAGTTTTGGGTCAGGCACATTCTAGCTACATGGGACTCAGAGTTTTGCCACGAGGAGCTGAGGCAGAGATGGCGATGTCCCCTCCCCCCACAGAGCTGTGTCTGCCAACAGAGGCCAGCCACTACTGTATTGGGGCCAGTGTGGGTGGCCACAGCTAGCTCATGCTTACCTAGGGCTTGATTGATCCCATGATGCTTTGAGAGAGCCACAAGGAATCCATAGAAGGTCAGTCTCTGAACATTGCTGAGGACTTCTTTAACAAGTGCTGGGGGTGGGCAGCTAGAAGGGAGAACACAGGTACCAGAGTCAAAGACACTAGCAAACCTGAAGGCCATCTTTTCATACATGCCTTCAGGTTTAGGACGATACACAGAGCAAGACCAGGGGACCTGCCTCGGGGGCCCTAAGGCCCTGGGAAAGCATGGCAGATCTCTAGGAGTAGGGCCTTGACTGTAACAGGAAGGGCTGGCGTGTTTATTACTAGTGAACATCACTAGTGCTCATCACTAGTGCTGAGTTCATCACTAGTGTTTTCAGTAGGGAGCAGTAGGAGAGAAGGGAAGAAGAATGGCTACAGGGGACAGCTTCTTGGAGGAGACAATGCTCTGTCTCGAAGGGTATTTTGTGCCACACAGGACAGTTTAACCCTCTTTTTGTGTAGGAAAGTTTTGTACAGTGAATGCTCTTTCTCTAAAAACCCAAAGCCAATCTATCTCTTGGTAAGCTGGTCACCTACAGTTGGTCTTGCCAAAGTGAAACCAATCATTTCTAAATGAGCCAATTGGAAAGCCTTTCAATCAACAAGCTGGTTTGGGAGCAAATGGCACTGTTCTAATTATATTGTGACCATCAGGGGTCCTAGAAGCCCTGGACCAATCAGAACATCCTGCTAGGGATCTGTTCCAAAGCCAGCAGTCTGCAATCCCTGGGGCTGAGGAGGGGTCTGTGCACCCATTCCTCACCTGTACTTGTGCCGGTCACACAAGTTTTCCAGGCACTGGTAGAATAGCGACGCCTCCACTCCCTCCATGCTGGCCTCACCCAGGACTTGGCGCTGGCGGTGTTGCCCACTGGATGACGTTGGCACAATCACTGTATTGGGGTTCTTGCCTGACAGTAGGTCCTGATAGATGGCAGCCACACTGTCCAGGAACTCTGGTACCGTAGGGTGGGGGAGGACAGTTCAGGTGGGGAGGACGTGTTTCATCCCTTCACTGTGTTCTCCCTTCTCTGCTTGTCAGCTCAGCTGCACACCAGCCTCCGCGCTCAGGGCATGGTGTCCTGAGAGCAGAAGCCCTCAGTTCTTTTTGAGCCCCACATTCATAAGAGGGGACACTAATGTGTTTCAGCTCAAATGTCTCATCCTTTAGACAGTTGTTCCTAGACTAGGTGAGAGTCCCCATTACATGCTTTAATAACACCCTATACTTTTGTGTAGCACTTGGCCAATGTTTTCTGTGTGATTATTTATTTAATTGGTCTCCTTGCTGGAATATAAGATCCTTGTATGAAGGCAGGGATCATGCCTTTTTGACCTTTCCTGCCCCAACACCTAGCACTGTGCATGGCACATATTAAATGCCATAAATATTTTCCCAAAGAGTAAACATGTGCATGCTCCCACTGGGAAGCCCCATCTTGTGAGGCCACCTGCCTCTGTAACTCAAGAAAGCATGTTGGAATACCAGTGAGGAACAGAGAAAGCCTGCAAGCTGCCAATTTATTAATCATTTGAAATTATATTCAAATTTTTATAGTTGAGCCATCATTAGTTACCAATGACTTATGGCCCATCCCATCTCTGGCTGACACACACTGTGGTGCAGTGCAATGATGCTCTTGGCCCAGTGCAGCTGGCTGGGAGCACTGTGAGAGGAGAGCCAGGGGAAGCAATGGGGGGAAATGTTCTCCCAGACATGGCTGCTCAGCCCAGGGCCTAAGACCTTCTGCTAAGGAACAGGTGGTGAGACCCCATGCTCTAGGCCCTGCCTGAACAGCTCTTGGCTGCTATCAAGTAAACAGAATGTGGTGCCTAAGTGAAGCCAGGGCTGGCTGGGGCCACCAGTTGGCAGAAAGGCCATCTCCAGGCTCCAAGGACAGCCTTCTATTTACTGGAAGAGCCTGCATTAAACAAGTTTGTTTATCGACATAGTCAGCAATTTCTAAACTCAACATTCCATTTGCTGCTGCTGTGTGTGAGCGGGTATGCGTTTGTATTTATTTGTCTATTTTTATTCCACCTGATTCCAAAGGGATTTAGGGGCACAGCTGGTGGGAGTGTGAGCTAGAACTGGTGTGTGCTTATTAAAGCTGTGGGTGGGGAAGAATGTGTGCCCACACACATGACCATGCACCAAGGGAGAGAACTTTGTAGTAATACAGAAAAGAGGCCAAGAGCACTGGCTTTGGAGTCAGCCTTCTCTTCAAGTCTGGTCTCCACCACTTATTAGCTGTGTGTCTTTGGCTACTTACCTTACTTATGTCTCAAAGGACCTATCTCTTAAGGTTGTTGTAAGGATTACAGTCCTTAGTGCTATGCCTGGGATATAGTAAGTTTCCAGTAAGTAGTGAATGCTATTGATGTTGTTCTTATTGTCATTGCCACTTAAACTGATCTGTTGTGTTGCTGTCTGGAAGCAGTGTGGTTTTCAACGTCTTAAGGAGGCTGAGGAAGTCAGCTCTGCAGACTGAATCTTGTGGCCACCATCAAGAACTAGACATCCTGTTATTGACCCGTGGTGAAGCACACTCCCAAAGGAAGTGGGGAAAGAAGCATGTGTGCCAGGCACACAGATGGAAAGGGCAACAGGGTGGGACAGGGAGAGACACGGTCCTAGACAGGAGCCATTGCATGGCCCTGGAACACTCTCACCTGAGTAGTAAAACTGGATCTGGAAGGCAAAAAGGAAATCTGAAAAAGACATCAAGCAGTCCATGGCATCGTCCATGAGCACAATCCTGAAGTCAGGGGAGGGAGAGGGAGAGAGAGAGAGAGAGAGAATGAGAATGAATGTGAGTGTGGGTGGGGGGAGGGGCAGCACTTGCACCAGTGAGCAAGTGAGCTGTTCCTGGGCCCCCAGGCTCCTCTGGGGCAGCAAGACATTTAGGAGTGTGCTCCCAAAAGCAGACTCCTCCCAGTCACCTCACTTTTTCATTAATTGGACCCTGCCACCAAACTGAACTGACCACACTGTACCAAGAGCAGGCTCTAAGTTCAGTCTTGGTGGCACCAGCTAGTGGACCAAGCATGGGGGTGGGGCAGCAAGCAGAGGGCGCAATTGTAATGTAGCCAAGGTTTCTTTTCATACACTTAGGCAGTGAATCCTTTCATTCTGCAGCGAGGACCATTTAGTTCAAGTAAATACAGCTGATCAGAAAAGGCAAAAAGAACAGCCAAGGGCTTTAAAGGGGTCTTGGCAAATGGTACTGAGATTTAGTAAGTTACCAAAAGGCTAGAACAGTTACAGGCACCTCCATCCTGGGACACAGATGGCAGACAAGGGGAGAGGGCAAAGAGCTACTGGGGACGCTGTACTTGACAGGGTCAAAGAATACACTCCATCTTGTGATGCTGTGGCGGCCACTGCTCATCCTTGGTGTCCACTCTCACAAGGTGGCCACCTCCTGGTTTTTATTGTTCCTCCCACTAGGCACCCACCTCACAGGAAGAAAACCATCTGACTAGTAAAGGAATCAGCCCAAGGACATGTTCATAGTCTGCTCAGGGCCTCATCTGTGAGAGTCCAGGAAGAGAAGTAAATTAGCACTTGCTGGGCTCCATCCATGTGCCCGGCAGGGTGCCAAACTCATCTAGTGGAGTGGAGCTGGGCCCTCAATTTGTTCCTGATTGGGCTCTTCTGGCTTTATGTTTCCTATTGTTTTTTAAATTGTTTCATTTTGCTCTCTGATGTATTTTTCTAAATCTCTCTCCACTGCCTTCCAGTCAGAGGGTCCCCAAATAGCAGCTGGATCAGCCCCAGAGAGAGTGAGCACTGCTTACCTCTGGGGAAGGGGCTTTACAGAGAATTCAGTGTAAGTGGTGCCCCTACCCCAGGAATTGTGCAAGGCACCTGGCCTGTTTCAGATCTCCCCAAAGAGAGAAAGTGGTTCCGATCTAGTCTTTAGTCTAATAATGACAACTATAGAAACAGGTACCATTTACTGAGTACTTTGTGGCAGGTACTGTGTAAGGTATTTTAACTACATTAATTAAATTTTATCCCACAACAATCCTATGAGGTAGGTCTTGTTATTATTTCCATTTTATAAGTGGAGAGTCTTAAGTGTCAGAGAAGTGAGTTTACCCAAGTCACATACACAGCTGGTGAGTTTGCTTGACTCTATAGGCCATGTGTTTTTCCATTAGGTCACACTGTGTATTGATTGATTGATTGACACAGTCTCCTTCTGTTGCCCAGGCTGGAGTGCAGTGGTATAATCATAGCTCACTTCAGTCTCAAACTCCTTGGTTTAAATAATCCTCCTGCTTCAGCCTCCCAGGTATCTGGGACCATAGGCACACACCACCACCCAGGCCTCGCTAATTTTTAAAAACATTTTTTGTAGAAACAGGATCTCGCTGTGTTGCCCAGGCTGGTCTCGTACTCCTGGCCTCAACTGATCCTTCCACTTCGGCCTCTCAAAGTGCTGGGATTATAGGCATGAGCCACTGTGCCAGCCATACTGCCTCTTTTAAAATAAAAGACATAGAACAGAAACACTAACGTTTTATTTCTTAGTTTCTGTGGCTAATTTATCTTCTTTCTTGTCACCTATATCTTAGGGCCTTAATTGTTTCTCATGTGTCTCTTGGTGAGAAAGAAAGCTACCTCCTCTACCAGAGTTCAACACTGAAATTCCAGCTGGAAAAAATTCAAGGCCAGAGGGTGGGAAGAAGCAATGCTGCCAAAGGCCACAGGAGGGTGCCCTGGCCCCTCCATCAGTAGTTCGTGGGACTAACAGTGCCATAGGCCAAGTGGTTACCCCCACTCATAACCTGAGGAGAACCCAGGCAGGCAAAAGGAAGAGAGGGCACAAAGCCCAGTTTCTGACATCTGGATGGAGAGGGAGCAGAGAGATGGCAGAGAGGGGGCAGACAGAGAGGACTGGGTTAGCAAAGACACCGCAACTACAGAAGAAGAGAGAGCTCTCCCAGGAGCCCTCAGGGAGCAAGACCCACCAGCACCTCAAAGATTTTCCTTCTTAGGCTCATCAGGGAAGGAAAGGCCCTGGAGAAGAGAAGCCAGTGACCTCTCCTTCCTACCCTACTCCCAGGTCTAAAGTTAATTACTAAGAAACATCCCCAAGCAGGAAACCACCGCGGGGAGCCAAAGCCTTTCAAGATGTTACATTGGCTTCTCTTGTTTATCATCAGTCTGGAACCCAATGCTCCTGTTTATAGCAGTAACTTCTATTTATTATGTTTTTATCTTTATTTATATTGTGATACAATGAAAATACCATAAAATTCACCTTTAAGAGTGTACAATTCAGTGTTCTTTTTTTTTTTTTTTTTTTTTTTTTGAGACAGAGTCTCACTTTGTTGCCCTGGGTAGAGTGCCGTGGCATCAGCATAGCTCACAGCAACCTCAAACTCCTGGGCTCAAGCGATCCTCCTGCCTCAGCCTCCTGAGTACCTGGGACTACAGACATGCACCATCATGCCCAGCTAATTTTTTCTATATATTTTTAGTTGGCCAATTAATTTTTTTCTATTTATAGTAGAGATGGGGTCTTGCTCTTGTTCAGGTTGGTTTCAAACTCCTGACCTTGAGCAATCTGCCCACCTCGGCCTCCCAGAGTGCTAGGATTACAGGCATGAGCCACCGCGCCCGGCCACAATTCAGTGTTCTTTCAAACAATATTCAAAGTTGTACAGTCATCACCACTATTTAATTCCAGAAGTTACCTCCATATGTAATTCTCACTAATCAGCATGCTCCTGAGACCGGCTTTGAAGCAGAGTGCCATGAGCATCTTCCTCTTTAAGCCACAGATACAACTAGAAGCTGCCAACAGGGCACACCTTCCAGCCTCAGAACTGGCCCACAGCTCTCTGGCAGGGCTGTTCTTGAACATTAGCAGCCTCTTAAGACAGGCTGCTGCGGCAGAGGGAGTGCATGGCGTGGAAGGGCAGGCATGCTCTGCTCTCACCCCTGTTGCTCAGTTGGCCTAAACACACTAGTCAGTAGCTCGTGGGACTAACAGTGCCATAGGCACTGGTGAGGAGGCAGCAGTGGGCAAGTTAAGGGAGGGCAATGGGGCAGGGGCATTCTTTCTGAGAGATGTGGTGGATTCCAGCAGGTGTGAAAAGGATTGAGAAGTTTTCTCAATTGCAAACAGTGAGATGGGCTGTTAAAAAGCCAACTGCATCTCAGTGATGACACCACTACTCTGCTCAGCCAGAAACCTGGGGGACATCCTAGACATCTTGGGACTCTCTCCCTGGCCAACCGCCCCAAATCAATTAGTTACTAAGTCCTACTGATACCATCACCGCCATTTCTCTTGAATCCATCTACTTCTTTCCATTTCCACAGCCACCATCTACCTCTATTTTCTGGATTCTTGCCTCCTTCTAACTTAGTCTCCATATACTGTGGACTCAATTAGAATAGTCAGTGTGAATTTGACTGTTTTACCATTGTGTTTAGAACCTGTCTTGGGCTTCCCACTGCCCTTAAAACAGAGACCTCCATTTGGATCCTGCTTAGGAGCCCACATAATCTGTCCCCTGCCTCCCTTGACTCCCACATTGTATTCCAGCCACCTGATCCTCCTGTCCTTCCTCATGCCTTGCAGACAAGCCCATTGCTCTAGTAATGCACCCTTCCCCTCAGGTTCCTCTCCTTACCCACCTGATGCCTATGTATTCTTTGGGTTGCAGCCTCTTGGGGAAGGAAGGAGGAAAGTACCTCCCTAACTCAGACTAGGGGCAGCCTCCCTGCTACTTCTACACGTCTCTGCAACCTCTTGACACTGTTCATGTCTGTCCTTGCCTCAGGACTATAAGATCCACCAAATGACACCTCTGTCTTCCTGCTTGTTGCTTGACTCCATGGTCCAACATTGTGCCTGGCACATAGTAGGCACTCAGTAAGTATCTGTTGAATGAAGGAATTCTTTCTCCTGGCCTGGTGACACCTCGACATTACTTTTAGCTCTGTATATTCCATTTAAGAGGAATAAACTAGAGCTGTGGAGAAAAGGATCAGAGTGGTGGAGAGTCTAACAACCATGACATTGGACAAATGACTGCATTTAGAGCCTTTAGCTTGGAAGAAAAGATTAGGAAGGAAGTGAGGGCTGAGACCCAACTCTTTGTTTGTTTGTTTGTTTGTTTTGAGACAGAGTCTCACTCTGTCAACCTGGGTAGAGTGCAGTGGTGTCATCGTAGTTCACTTTAACCTCAAGGTCCAACTCTTGAAGGGCTGCCTCTGAGGAAGTTGTCACAGGGACCTACAGTTTTGCTCTAGAAGACCTTTTCAAGCTGCCTAGCTCTGGGATAGTGGCCGATTTGTGAAGGAGTGAGCTGCCTGTTGCTGGACATGTTCAAACAGAAGCTTGCATGCTGATATTTCCTAAAGGCTTCTTCCAGCTCTGAGAGACTGTCGTCCCAAGGGTGGACAAAATTGACAGCTTCTCCTGTTAGTGCTGGGTCTAGAAAAGTTTGCTGTTCAGAGGACTGTGGCTGCAGAAGATCCTGAAAGACTTACATAAAAGTGTTTTTAAAACACCGTATGTTGGAGGAACGGGTGGGAAACAAACAAACAAACAAACAAAACACCGTATGTTGTGCTGTCCATCTCCAAATGAATGCTCTGACTCCTAAAAGTTCTGGGCATCTGCATCTTGCTTTGGAATCTCAGAACTGTGGGAAAAGGCAGGCAGGAAGCTATTGGCCTGTCTTTGCCTTTGGTGACAGGGACAATCCCAGGTTGTAGGCCCAATATCCCCAC